GACTGACGAGATCGCAAGATCGGAACACGTGTATCGGGCTCTATAAGTCAGCCCTCTTCGATAGACCACTGACATGCGTGGCTCAAACAATGATTATCAGGCATATTGAAATTTGAGCAGTGGTATTAAGATAACACTCAAAACGAAAGTTGTGGAAACTAGAGTCACTATAAAATTTGCTGGTTCTTCAAATTGTGCATTAGGTATGAACAGAACTAGGACTAGAATGCAACGTAGAGAGGTGGCAAAACAGGCGTCTATAGTGCAATTGTTTGAACATGCACCCCCGGAAAGAGTATAAGATGCAGGTTCGAGTCTCGCTTGACGTCGAAGTTTTGCACGTCACTCAACATCATTGGGCATATCTAAGACTAGATTGCTGAATGATATGCAAAACTTTACACATCGAGCAGGAGCTGAAACGCGTCCTCCACTCTCACAGGGTGTGCGCTAAGAAACGCGTGGGCGTCTATATAATGTTTTCTTCAAACTCTCGGTAACCTCCTTTCAGTGAATGCCAGCACAAATCTAGCTTGATCACAAGAAGCAATAGAAACGTCACTAGCAAAATTTGCCGCAGAAGCGGTTTCGCTTCCGCTCTGTATTCGAAAACACGCAATACTCGTAGTGACATTGATGATTTCATGAGCCCCTTGACTTTCTTATAGATCTTTCGCCATAATCTCTCCTGAATTACCTACACGGCCGTATTGATCATTTTCTAAAACAAGATGCATCTTATAATAAGGCTTGGAACGGCTGGGACGCTATAGTTTCTCAAGATCATCAATTATCGATGAGTGAAAATAATATGTCTTCTCATATTTTGGCACTATAGCAATAGACACCAGATTTCTTAGCCAGAAGTAATTAAAATTGTTCAACAGCACTATCCAAAGTATGCGACATCGGCCTGAACACATTTTTGCCATCTCTCAGGCAACAATTCAAAACCTTCGGAGAATTTTCTGAGCTTTTCTCTGATACCAAATTACCCATACTCGCCACATCATGGCCGCTCAGCGAAGCTCTCATCGCAATTTGCTGCTTTATGAACGAATCGGGATGCGATCCACGGATCACCGATGACATTAACCATGCAAACGCTCAAGGAATCGAGTCCAGGTGAACGGCGTCTCGGTTCTTTGCTGAGTTTCGGCCGGCAACACCAACTTGCAGGACCAGCTGTGCTCCGGACGTCCACGCGACGAAAGGCCATCATAGAAGCATTCGTAATTAATGTGTTCAGGCTGATGGTGCATAGTTTTGATGATGTTGTTGAGCAATTCTAAATGCTTCTGATTAATATACTTGGTGCTTGTTGCTCTAATGCCAAAACTTAAGAGAAGAGCTAATGCTACGGGAGCGTCCGGAAAGGGACAGACACGGGTTCAACTCCCACCCATCGTTTGAAGTTTTGCCTCTTACTACTCAACACTGTTGAATATAAAGACACAACATCATGATACTGGTATGAAAATGACAAAATAAGAGAAATTATCGAAGATAAAGGACAGCTATCAACGCACCAGCCACTGATCCAACAAGTAATCCTGCGCTATTCGCAAACAGAGCGCTAAAGAATAGTTTATCTGAAGACGGTGAAGAGGATACGACGAGTTGCGATGATAAAGGACACCAAACACCCTGAAGAAGTTGCCAATAAAAACAAATTCGAACAATTTATGGAAAAAAACTGTATTACAAATATTACAATTAATAAATTTTTGAAAGTAAAGAGTAATTAGAAGTACAGGAAGAAAGAAAAAAGTTAAGAGAGCCATGTCACTTCGCAGCGGAAAGGTTTTACTCGCCCGACTACACCTGTAGAGCTAATGAAGTAATGAAAAAAAGATCTCTCCGGAAAAGGATAAAAAGAGTGTCTTGTACCGGAAGGGTTAAAAAAGGAAAATCTACCTCAGAAGGGATCTAAATAAAGTGAAATACCCACGGATAGAATGAAAATGGATGTCGCTCCGGAAGGGGGAAAAAGAGTAAATCTCTCTGAAAAGTGACAAAAAATCAAACCTTCCTCGGGTGAGATTATGTAAAAGGGAGAATACACGACTAAATAAGAAAAAAGAAATCCCGCCGGAAGGGGCTTCACCACAAAAGATTTGAAAAAAAAAAAGAAAAATTTTTGGAAAAAAGGTTCGAGAAGAGGGGAATCTCCTCGGAAAGGAACAAAAAAAAACTTCTCTAGGCAAAGACAAAAGAAAAGAAAACTTTCTCCGGCACAAAAGAAAAGAGGAAAATCTCCTCCAAATCGAATAGAAAAAGAACGAGCTCCCTCGAAAAGGTACAAAAAAAGGGAGAACGTTCCAGTAAAGGAACTTTCCCTTGCAATATCTTGATCAACTTACCACACCGAAATAGGTGAGCAGCAAAATTATATACATGCATGTATAAGATCTTGACTCCTTTCTATACATCCTAACGCTCTTAGTGGATGAAAGAAGTGAGTTCTGAAAAAGAAAGACCTTACTCTAATTTGAAGAGAATCAAGAAATCGTCAAAAGAGGGCTAACCCGATCGAAAATTGGCTCCTCCTCATCAGAATCCGATTTCATTTCGGCAGTACCACCATCGATATTGACATCGACGAACCGTTCTTTACCACCAGAGGTAGAGGACCCTTTCGTCGCGGACGTATAACGAATTTTATGCGGACTTTCGTCTTTTGACGTTAATACTGAAAACTAATGGTCTTAGCAAAAAGACCGCTTGAGAATCAAAGCTCTCAGACAGGAATCGAACCCGCATTTCACCTTTTTGCGAGGGGGGGAGGCGTGCTAATCAACTGCAATATCGAGGCTCTTTTTCTGTAATCACTTTCTCCGATACAAGGTATCGATCTGTGATCACCAGTTGCCAACAGTTTAGCCTGGCATACCCATACCCTGAACAGCAGAAAGCGTGATAGCAGAACAAAAGCCTGGGAAGGTCAAATGGTTAACACGCGCCTCTGGAAAGGGTGAAACGCGGGTTCAATTCCCGATCGCGAGTCAGAGTTTTGCATACCGCTCAACAATATTGGATTATATTCATAACATTATGTTACCGCTAAAAGAGGGGCCAGATAGAGGATTCTTGTTGATCTTGTTGAAGCTCCCTTGATTAGATCAAAAGATGAAAGGGTAAACTCAATGACGCTAAATGATGCGAAAAATTTGACGTGAGGCGGGACTAAACCCGCATTCCACCCTTTCCGGGGCCTCGTGCTAACCAATTGCACCACCGACGCCTGTTTTACCACCACTCTTTCTACGTTACAACGCATCAATCAATCAGCAAGCAGTCGTGAACGTTTTGGCCTGGTACACCGATACGTTGTACCGCAGAGTGTGGCAGAACAGAAGCTTCTGTTGGTCAATTGGTTAGTAAGCGTCGTAAAAAGAGGGAAACGCGGGTTCGAGTCCGGACCGAGATCTAAAGTTTTGCAATCACTTAACATCAATTGATAAATTCATTTATATAATAATGATATCATCGTTTCAAATAAAAAAGGATAAACTCACTTCCCAATTGTGAGAGGATATGCGAGTCATCGTGGAAGTTGCTCATGCTATAGGCGCAGAAAGAGGAGCGACGACGTGTCAAAACATGAACACTTCTGAATAATAGGGAAGATATCGATCGATCGATAGATCGATCAATCGATCAATCAATAAAACCAATCAATAGAAAAGAAACGGATGCAAGTGTTGCGATTCACAAGGTAAATTGTTATAACGCGTCGCGGTGAGCGAATAGAACTAGACGATGACACAATGTTAACGATCGATAGATTAATCAATAAATCAATATTTGCACATATCACCACCAACGACTTACAAGAAACACAGTGAGATCTGGTGTTGCCTACTGGGTACATTTTACTAGACTAAATGGGCGTGGTTGTTGACTGTCGAATGGGGCTGGGGTCGAACTTGACTCCACGCGCGCCGCGATGACGATCACAACCACTCGGCCACAGCGCCCCGTCTACTGAGTGCAGATCAAAGCAACGGGCCTACTTCGAAACAGTTCCAATCGATAGTACCGATCAATCGATCGACCGATCAATTCGGTCATTTGAACGAGGAGGCGAAACATCGCAGAGTAAACAAGAATTATTGGTAAACCACGAGACTATCTGTCACTCCCGTCCCCTTCCCCTCCCATCCCCATTATTAACCAGTTTTTAGGGCATCCTAAGGTCAAAGTACAAAAAAAAGATCTAAAATTAACACAGATTCCCACAACAAAGTTATCTGTCTGGTCAATCGATAACAGAGGATTATCGATCGGCCCGACAGATAACAGAAGGCTTTAATGAAGTGCTGCAAAGGAGTAATGACAGGTAGACCAGGGAGCCCGGTAGTATACAGGTGGCTAGTACACCCCCTTTCCCCCAAACAGTCTTGCCTGGAGAGGGTAAGACGCGGGTTCAGCGCCCGCCCAAGGCTCCAGAATCTTCATAACCCAGCATTCATGGATAAAAGCACCACGAACTACTAGAAGAAGCAGGTCAGTCAAAAAGTTTCTCATAGAAAAAAAAGATAATATAGTAGTAAACTAGGTGCGCATGTGGAGCAGTGGTTTGAGATGCTCTGCTTCGCAAACAGATCGATGGTTCGATCTCGCGCTCATGGCTCCAGACCATCCATCCCTTCGGGGTCGGTAGATCGCTACCAGGGTGGTCTCCGACTTGTCTGGGAGGACAAGCAGCACTGACTCGATACAGCGGGAGGCCACAGCGAGTCATTGTAAAGGCCTGGCATGCATTCAATCACCTCGGACGAGATGCTACGAATGGAATCGAATGCATAGCGCAATCCTCAGGGATCGGTGATCAACGTCAAGAGCTTTAACCTTTGGTTTTTTAATGATGGATTAAAGATAATAACGCAATGCCACCAACCAATCAATAAATCAATACAGATCAAGACTGACGGGCAATGATTTGCACGAAACCGAATAAGATTTGCCCAGCGACGTTGAGTGACGTGCAAAACTTTTGCGTCAGGCGGGACTCGAACTCGCATCTCGTTCTATTCGGGAGAGCGCGCTCTAACCCGTTGCACTACTGACGCCAGATATCTACTTGTGCAGTCTTACAGGGGATAAAGATCCATTGCGATACTACAAGACGAGCCAATTACTCTTACCGTTAGTAAGACTCAAGTGCATAAAGATCGATTTGACACTTTCCGGACGCAGATAGATCCTCAGCTTTTGAAATGTCTTTTTTTTGCTGGACAGAGCTATTTCACTAGCTTTAGTTAACATTCAAAAGCTTAAATCTCGGCGGTTTCAACGCTGTGCTTGATCTCCAAAAAATTATCTTTACTATGCTGTAGCAGCAAAAATAAAGTTATGCATCGCACTCGGTCTGCTTTGTATCGGTCTTTATTAGACTACACTTATACTCATTCGATAGCGTAATTCTCATCGGCTTTGAGCCTGAACTTACTTTCAGAAAAGTCTCCATATTAAGGTGCAAGAGCAAAAAGAAGATCAGGTTTCACACCCGAAATTTTCCTCGCAATCAAAAGATTTATATCTCATAATTATTATTTGAGCCATGTCATGTGGTCTGTTAGATGGCTCTTGTACAGCCCGATACACGTGTTTCGGCCTTAGAGCCTCGTCAGCAGTCGCATAGAACTTTCGTCTTTAATCAGTCCTCTCGGAGACCCCTACATCCCTATAAAAAGGCAGGTGATTGCGAACGACTTAGTCAAGTGAAAAATCACAACATCGGCTAATTTCGACACTTGATTTCACGAGATGTATTGAAATTCGAACGTGGTCCTAATGAAACACTCGAAACAAAAGGTATAATCTTACAAAACTACCAGTCAGGAGCAGTCGAGTGTCGAAAATTGCAGATCTTGTGATTTTTCACTTGGCAAAGTCGTTCGCAATCACCTGCTCCTTTATAGGGGATGTAGGCGTCTCCGAGAGGGTTGGCTAAAGACGATGGGTCTGCCCGACTGCTGACGAGGCTGTAAGGCCGAAACACGTGTATCGGACTGTACAAGAGCCCATAACAGACCACATGACATGTTGGCTCAAATAATAATTATGAGATGAATTTAATTTTGAGCGTGGTCTTTATGAAACACTCGAAATAAAAGGTATAAAAGGTTCACATATACAAAAAGCATATGAGCGTGTAGAAAAAAATCATGGAGTATCAGAATATCAGGATAAACCTAGAATTTTTTCCCAAAACGAAGGAAAATATCCTCAATAAGTATCAAAAATCGCGCGCTACACGCGAAAATCGCTCATAGCTACAAATCATCCATCATTGGGAGAGAGAGTAAGCTGAAGTAAAGTAGTTATACTTCGGAAAGTAAAATTAAAGATCAATAAGATAATTGAAAATAAGCAAAAAAATTTTTTTTGATTATTGAAAAATAATTAATTAATAATTAAATTATATGATCATTATGAAAAAAATAAAATAAAATAAAACAAAATAAAAAATAAACAAAAATAAAAAGAAAATAATATAATTAAATTATATTATTATCAAATTATATTATTAATTAATTATTATTGTATTATTATTTGTTATTTGATTTTTAGTTAATTATTATTAAGTCAAAAATTATTATTAAATTATCAAAAATGAACTAATGATTAAATGACTTAAAAAAAAAAGAAAATAGGATTAAAAGATTACTCCGGAGATAGTTTTGTAATAGTCAGTGGTGTTGAGTGATATGCAAAATCGTGAACTTTGGGCAAGAATCGAACTCGCGGTTCACCCTTCCCGGGGCGTATGCTAACCAACTGCACTACCGAGGCTCTTGTTCTACCACCACTCCTCACATATCAGTATGGCAGTGATATTTGGGAGAAAAATATCGATTTATTCGAGTTAATCACGTGAACCGGGAACTATTCGTCTAGTCGATCGATAACGGAGAATTCCTCAACAACGAAAAAGCGGAACATTCCGTTCAACGAATCGATCAAATACCTATTAACAAAGGACTTCGAAGTAAACAAAAACAGTGACGTAAACAAGTAAACAACAACAACAATGACGTCACTCTAAATGACGACTTCTCGGCGTCTAAGAAGGTTTCGAGCAAAAAAAAGACGATGGATATCAACGGATTTTAGCATTTATAAGCTAGTTTTTCTTCTAACTCTCAAGCTTTGCTGGCTCAAGAACCTAAGAAACCACTCGTTGGGGAGTTGATTTGAGTACAAAACCTTAAATAACCACATTATTGATTGATTGGTGTAACGCCGCTGGTCGTGAAATTCGCTAGGAAAATTTCAGAAATATCAACGAGGGGGTGGGGTGAAGAGATGGGAAGGGGGAGGGGGGGCGGGTGGCCCCCCGAGCACACAACGGCGAGTGAGCACCTCGGGGAGCCAAGCGGTATCCTGTTTTTTAAATGACAAAAAACTGTAAATAATATCTTCGTGTGTGGCGGAGTGGTTAGATGTGCCCGCGACACACACGTGGTCCATGGTTCGACTCCCAAGTCCCCTCCCCCACCTCGCCCATAGGTTAGGTAGCTTTCGATCCACCCGGGGTAAGCGAATCGCTATCCTGGACTTGTCAGCGGATCTGCTACCCACTGACCTTATACAACGGTGGGCTATAGGCCACCACAAGTCGAATTAAGGTCGCTGATTGATCAGCGACGAGAGATTTATCCTCAGCTTCAGCTTCCGTTTCCATGGGCAAGTGTGGCGCAGTGGTTAGAGGCGTTGAGCGGTGGATACGTCTTAGGTTAGTGGTTCGATCCCATTCCCTTCCAGGCTCATCAAGCCTTGTATTTGGCTCTATGCTCCACTCCTTTACGATCGGCCCCTTCCTGGGTACTGTAGGTTTCGCCCGGATCGATGAGGCCACACACTTCCCCTTGAGAGACTTGTCGTTCCGGGCGCTTTCCTCGTTTTTATGCTCTAATTGGTACGAGTCGCTCGTTTGCGCAAGGCCTCGACCGATCCTGCCACGGCGGAACGCGCCACGACGGCCGCGGCGGCAACGGCTGCAACGGCGACGACGACCGCAACGGCCGCAACGGCGACGACGCCGCGGCGGCGAACGATTACGGTAGGAGATGAGTGCGGGTGATTCCTCTGCGTCCCTGTGCGGCGGGCGGTGGTGTCTGGCTCGTCTGGTGTCGGGCAGGAGGCATGCGGCGGCGGCGACGCGCGCGCGTCGTAACGCCACCACCACCGCCACACAGCCATTGCATTGCATTATTGAGCACCGCGTGGTGCGGAGTGGAGTCAACATGTTTTCTCTGTGTCTTTGTGATTGAATCAATATAGCTTTAATTAACCGAATCAGCCAAGCCCAAGCCTAAGCTGAATCCGAACACCTCATTGGTCTGAGTCTCCTCCGATCAAGTGGCGAATCGATCGCATTCTGGTCGACAGAGGTGTGGGCGACGTCGTCGTCGTCCATGCCGTGGTCGTCCGCACGGCGCCGAATTGTTCCCACCAAAGCAATTCTGCTGTTGCCGTCTGACCGCAGGGACTTGTAACCGTAGATGAGAGAGTTCTAAATATATACATATTTCAATGAGAAATGTCACTTTTTGGCCTCTATTTGCATTGTTCATTCAATTTCCGATTGTTTTCCGATCTCTAATGCGTGCCTCACAACTCACTTGGTCGCTTTTCCTACATCCAGGGTGTCCATCTATTCTACTCTCCCGCTGCTGATCTACTCTGGAAAATCTGAGGGTTGTTCCCAGGATAGCCTTGGCTATGCTAGAAATCCTCCGTACACATTTTCGATGACGAAGCCATCCACCACGGCGGGGGGTCTGTCGACCGGGCCGTTGGGCCGGTCGATAGGCGAGATAGTGCGCGCACGAAGAGGACACCGACAGCGAGAGAGGGACGCGCACTGGGCCGTGATAGGCCGCCGCCGCCGCTGCAGCAGCAGCATCACTCGGAGAGAGCGCGCCCGGCGAGTTCTCGAATGTTGTTCCTCTCGGTCCGGTCTGGTCCGGTACTGGGCCATTGCATTGATTCTTCCCAGAATGGGTCTTTATCTGATATCCAGACGATCTCTATGAAACAGTTAAGTTTTAAACGGTGTAAAAATAGATTCAGAAAGATTCCTGTGTAACTTGTATGGGGGCGGAGCCTCGCGTTCTTGTTTACACCTACTGAGTTTTCTAATTTATCGCTGTAAGTACTAATTTTTTCTATAGCGAATCTAGCAGGTTATTTAGAGCTGTCAAAGTGCTTCTGTGCTCTCTACTATGTAGAAGTACAAAGCGTGCTAAGTATCGCTTGGGGAAATCGGGGGGGGGGGGGGGGATCTAAAAGTACGCTTCCGTCGCCTCTTTGTCAGCCCTTTCTCATATTTCAATCAGAGATAGTTCTCCGTCAACCAGCCCCCCGCCGATTAGTAGAGTGGCAGATTCCAACGTTCCTAAAAATCCGAGCTTCCAAAGTTCTATCCAACTCGGGTCCACATCCCAGCGCCGCTTGCGGGGGCGATCGATAATGGGCGTGGCGTGGGAGTAGTGTTGATGCCCCCCTCCCCTCCGCCCACTCTTAATACAGTATGTGGTCAACCGTAGGCTAAGCGGACGAGTAGGGATGTTCTGCCAGGGGTTAGCGCTTTGTTTATTGGCTAGTAGCTAACCTAATGATTAGTAGTCGTCCTAGTTATATTGATTCCCTGGTCTACGACCGTATCGATTGGTAATGCTGATCTCCTGCCTATCACGGTGATAGTCACTGTGGTTACTGTACATGGCCCTGTGTCACGTCTGTCTGACGGTGTGCATCCCAGCATTTTCTGCATTCCATTCATCCCCTCCTCGCATACGTCCGTCGTCCACGAAAGACTGCGAACTTTTTGTCCGTGGGTTCGCTGACGGCCGCTTGAGGGCTTAGATTTTCCTGATGAATACCGTACTATCCGGACTAGACCATTCCGACCTTGATTGCAAAGAGTGATCTACTCGCGGACAGGTACCAATTTCCTGACCCCAGGGGGATTAGAGGTGTGATGAGCCCTCTGGGTCGAACCCGGCACTATGCTGGTGTTGAATATCGACACAACCGCTGCACTTCGCTTATCCTTTTTTAGTACTTTCTCTGCCCTCTACTAATACTTGTAACGATATTGATCATAACATACAGAATTAATGAGTATATATCGATTTTGTGCCCATGGTACGTATAAACAAGTACAGTTTCCTGACCCCAGGAGGATCAGACGTGTGATGAGCCCGCTGGGGTCGAACCCGGCACAATGCTGGTGTTGAATATTGACACAACCCGCTGCTCTTCCCTCATCATTTTTTAGTATTTTCTCTGCCCTCTACTAATACGTGTAACGAAATTGATTATAACATACAGGTTTGATGACCATATCGATTTTGTGCCCATGGTAGTTTTAATTACTTAAGAATGCCTTCTTGATGGATTCCAGTAGGCGGACTGGAACCCCGATTTGGATTGCATGTGGTGATTATTTGCCAGCAAGTGCCAATTTTCTGAACCCGGACAAGTTAGAGACAAAGTGAGTTCGGCGGGGTTGAACCAACCCAATAATGGTCGTGTTGTAGAGCATCATCAGCACTGCGCTTCCCCTTTCCTCTACCGGTTTGATTGCTATTAGTGCTCTGCAGCTGTAAATGCTTTTAACATCATCATTGTTATTGTCATCACCACTTCATCATAGCCACATTGTTATTATAATCATAATTGTTATCAATATCATTATTACTCTCACTAGGCCCTTGTGGAGGATTGTGGTCCTATCAATCTTTCAAAGGTTTAGGCCTAGGTCCTAAAGACCCTACAAGGGCTAGTCCTAAGGACCTAATCCTAAGCCTTCAAAAAATTGGTAGGGCCTCAACTTTCTCCCAGCGTCTCTCATTATTGTTAAAGTTCTTACTACTACAATCATCATCACTGTTATCATTGTTGTTGAAGTCGGCCACATTAGGCCTTTGTGAAGAAAATCAACAGTTTCATCATCGACCGATACATTGATTAGAGTGTTTACGTGGTACCTAGCAAATGTGATATGGACTCAAAATTATTCTGATATGTTTCAATGTCTAAGATTACTCCTCATTCCATTATTTGACGTTGTGAGAAGCAGTTCATAGCAGCTCTTTGTTGGTAAGAACCTGTGAGAAATTGCAATTGAAACGGACACTGGATCGGTTATGTGAATTACATACAGCTAACATTGGCATATTGAACAGGAACAAGTTGGTAATACGATGCAGATGATAGATTCAAATTGATATATTGAAGTGAAAGAATAATGAAAAGTGCAGGAAGACTCGTGGGAGACAAATGCCACATTTCGTGGAAAGATTGATTTGTAGTCTTTTTTTTCTCTAAACACAATAGAATGGCTTAAAATGTTGCTATCGTCTTGTGCCTACATACATTTCCATTCCAGATGTTTTTCCTAGCCTCCTACGTGGGGAAATTTTCCAGGTTATGGTAGATCTCATGGATTCAACTAGTGATTTTCATGAAGCCGAGAATTTTGAGGATGGTGAATTACCGGAGGAAGGCGAAATCTGCGACGATGATGAAGAACCTATGAGAGGTAACGGTGTCTTAGGATTCGGAAGTCCGGCAAAAAAAAAAGATGAGAGCAGGATTCATTAGGTCTTATGCTTGCGAAACTGGGCAGATTTGAGAGTTCTGCTGCTCACTAAGAATTTGTCCTGATTAAAGTTTAATTTAAGAATATCTTAGTTCGCGAGATATTCTATTGAGAAAGAGGAGAAAAAGAGGAATGAAGGTGACATTTGAGAAATTTGTTAAAAACGAAGGGAGAAAAAAGC